CTTGAGGGACCAACAACCATTTACTCCACTCAATGTCTCAGTGGAGCACATCCTACTCCAGATACAGGATGACCCCGCCATCCGTTGGCTCAGGAAGATAAGGTCTGACCCCAAACGCAAAAATCCCAGTAAGTATTGTCGCTTCCACCGTGACCATAGACATGACACAGACGACTGTTTCCAATTGAAGAAACAGATTGAGGAACTTATCCAGCGGAGGTGGTCGAGGACCAGCTCCATCGCACAAAGAACGAGAACCCCAATAGCCCCTTGGTGAGATTCATACCATCGCCAGAGGGTTAGAAGGATGAGGTGACTCCAACTCCGTCAGGAAGGCGCACGCCCGTAGAGCTAGACAGGCGAAGTCTCATGACTCCTGCCCAATAAAGACCCCATGACATGGGGAGGAAGAGGTCATTACTTTCTCAAACAGAGACTTTGTAGGGGTCCAGGTCTCTCATGATGACCCCTTAGTTTTGACCTTAATGGTGGTCAACTACCAGGTGAGGAGGATCCTAGTCGACAGCAGCAACTCAACCGACATCCTCTTTGCCACAGTCTATGACAACCTTCACCTCGGCAGAGAGAGACTACAACCGATCAGGACTCCCTTGGTTGGTTTCTCGGGAGAGAGAGTCTAGCCCTTGGGATCCATCACCTTGCCTGTCACAACAGGAACTGCACCAAAGAACTCTACTATCATGATAAATTTTCTCGTACTCGACTGTCCCTCTGCTTATAATGTGATCATTGGACGCCCTGCACTCAATGCCTTAAGGGCAATATCCTCTACTTACCACCTTCTCCTCCACTTCCTAACCTCCAATGGGATTGGGAAAATAAGAGGAGACCAGGTCTCAGCCAGAGAGTGCTACGTGGCCAACATGAGGGCTAGGAGACCACACGAGACTCTCCAAGTTGAAGTCCTTGACCCCATAAACAACGGTACCTTGGAGAGGGGTGAACCAGCAAAGGAGCTCCGCCCAAAAATACTAGATGACAACCTTCCAGAGAGGAAAGTATACCTAGGCTCCTCACTCTCCCAGGAGCAGACATATGCCTTAGTAGATTTCCTCAGAAGAAACGCAGACGTTTTTGCTTGGTCCCATGAAGACTTGGAAGGCATTGACCCCGAAATGGCCTCTCACCGACTCAATGTTAACCCCAGATATAAGTCTATCCGCCAAAAGTTGAGAAGTGTGAGCACTGAGAGGGGGCAAGCCGTGGAGAAGGAGGTAGACAAGCTCCTAACAAATGGGTTAGTGAGGGAGGTAGCCTACCCAGACTGGCTATCTAATGTCGTAATGGTGACAAAGGCCAATGGGAAGTGACGCCTTTGCGTGGACTTCACAGAGCTCAACAAGGCCTGTCCCAAGGACAGCTACCCTCTCCTACGCATCGACATACTCATTGACGCCACTGATGCACACGAACTCCTAAGCTTTTTGAACGCCTACTCCGGTTACAACCAAATTAGCATGTTCCTTCTAGACCAGGAGAAGACCTCATTCATTACCCCCAAGAGGCACTTACTGTTATAGGGTGATGTCTTTTGGGCTCAAGAATGCCGGTGCCATATACCAGCACCTCGTCAACAGGATGTTTGAAGCCCAGATTGGAAAAACGATAGAGGTCTATGTAGACGACATGTTGGTAAAGAGCGCAGCAGCGACAAATCATGTAACACAACTCCAGGAGACCTTTAATGTGTTGAGAGCCTACAAGATGAAGTTGAATCCTGAAAAATGCGCCTTTGGCGTCAGTTTAGGGAAGTTCTTAGGCTTCATGGTCCACGAAAGGGGCATTGAAGTCAACCCGGATAAAATCAAAGCTGTCTTGGAGATGAAGTCCCTACCTCAATCAAAGAGGTCCAGCGCCTCAACGGGAGAGTAGCCGCCCTTAACAGGTTTGTTTCTAAGTCTGCAGATAAATGTCTGCCATTTTTTAAGATTCTCCGCAGGTCTTTCCAGTAGACCCTAGAGGCAAAAGAGGCCTTCCAAAAGCTCAAGGCCTATCTCATCACACCACTACTACTCTCCCATGTTGTACTAAGAGAGACTCTCTACCTTTACCTCTCCTCTTCACCCTCTGTCGTAAGCTCTGTCCTCATCAGAGAGGATGGAGGAATCCAAAAACCAGTCTACTATATCAGCTGGGTATATCGAGGAGCAGAGGTGAGGTACCCAGAACTGGAGAAGTTAGCTCTCGCCCTCATCACTACCGCAAGACGCCTGCGTCACTACTTTCAGAGCCACACCATCGTGGTTGTCACAGATCAATCGCTTAAAAGAATTTTGGAAAAACCTGATGTTCAGGCAGACTCCTCAAATGGGCTGTGGAGTTAAGTGAATTCGATGTGCAATACCAGGCGAGGGCTGCCATCAAAGCACAGACACTTGCACACTTTGTAGTAGAGTCCACACCGATACTGGAAAAGGTAGCAAACACCCCAGCATCTGCTTGCTCAGTGCATACTAACTCCATCCAACAGAAGGTAGGACCTATAGATGAAAGAAAANTACTGGAAAAGGTAGCAAACACCCCAACATCTGCTTGCTCAGTGCATACTAACTCCATCCAACAGAAGGTAGGACCTATAGATGAAAGAAAACCCGATGACCATGAGAAGGAAAAGGAGGCAGAGCCACAGACCTGGGCGCCGCCCACTAGGCCTAAGTCGCCGCCCACTAACTCAGGGCGCTGCCCCCCTCACCTTGGGTGTAACTTTCTTAGCCTCCATCACTCCCCCGCCTTTCCCTCTCTCCAGTCATCATCTCCATCATCCGCTACGCCATGCTGAAAACTCTATGTTGATGGATCCTCTACCAACGAGGACGGCGGAGCCGGACTCGTGCTGATCAGCCCTCATGGCACCCCCTTGAAGTATGCAGTCTCCNGACTGAGAAGCACTGGAGGCATCAAACATCACCTTCTTGGGAGGAGGAGAAGACAGCACAAAGAACCTCCACCTCCATCATCGCTTTGTCAAGAGTTCCTAAAATCTAAGACAATGCCAGTTAGTGACCAAGCACCATAGAGGTGTCCCCCATAGTAAGGTTCAAGGTGTCGCCCAAACACAAACACAACAGTGCCCAAGGCCTCCCAGCAACACCCAAGGTGCCTGCCCAGCCTCCTGGCAGAGCCCAAAACACCCTACCAGCCCTCTTCTAGCGCCGCCCAACTCTCCTTCTCGCCCATAAGAGACTCTTAAAGCCATCTGCAATGCTCCTGCCTCGTCTGTCAAGTTGGCGTCGCCCACCAAGTCTCTCCCTACATTTGATGCAATACCGGGGTCCACAGCAAAAAAGGTGCCACCCAGCAAGGCGCTGACGCCTACCTCATGGCCCTGGGCGCCTACCTCCTGTCCCTGGGCACCTACCTCTTGCCTTAGATGCCTACCTTTTGCCTTGGTCACCTGCCTCATGGTCTTAGGCGCCCACCTCAGCCATATGGACACCGCCCAGTAGCTCACATGTACACCATGGGTGTTACCCATCAAGTGCTCCCTCCTTGGACTCTTTAACTGCTTCTCCAAGAGAGCACNGTTAGGCGCCCACCTCAGCCATATGGACACCGCCCAGTAGCTCACATGTACACCATGGGTGTTACCCATCAAGTGCTCCCTCCTTGGACTCTTTAACTGCTTCTCCAAGAGAGCACCATTGAAGCCCTCTTCACCTCTCCCATCTCCAACGTGGGCACCGCCCAAAACACCTCCATGGAAGACTCCTATGATATCAAGGGGGTGGACTCTTCCTCGATTTCTCTCCTCCACAACTGCTTCAACTCCTAGTTCCCATGAACTTGTTGTGGTACCGAAGAAAATACAAGAAAAATTTGACTTACTCAGGTGAAGTTGTAGCACATGCCTACANAAAAGCACTGTAACTCTCCGGAGACCATGATTCATCAATAAAGAACACCAGGTCACCACTGCCGTTTTTGAGAGTGGAGTAGGTCACTCAGAGCGAATCACTATAAATCTCTGTGTTGATCTATTATTTACAATTTTACTCTTAATTGTCATTGATTGCTTGTTTGTCACTCATTAATTGCATCCTTACACATACTTGACTGTTGATCTTGCACGAAAACAGATTATGAATAATAGAAGATATAATGGCAGAGTGAGTACCAGTAACCAGTATATCATCCATATAAATCAAGAGAAAAATATGAATGTCAATATGATAAAAACAAAATAATGAAGACTCAACGGCCGAGGAAACGAAAGCCCAATTCCAACAGTGAATCTCGTAACCGAGTGTACCAAGTACGGGATACTTGTTTAAGGCCATAAAGAGCTTTGTGCAAGTGACACATGATTTTGTGGATCCACAAATCCCTTGGGCTGCTCTGTATACACCTCTTCGGATTAGAAACCATTCAAGAAGACGTTTGAAACATCCCGTTGATGTATGCCCCAATCAAATTGAACAGCTAAGGCCAATAAAACCCGAACGGTGGAGGGTTTAATAACTGGACCGAATGTTTCAGTATAGTCAATCCCACTATGTTGATCAAAATCCTTAGCAACTAGTCGGGCTTTNAATCAAATTGAACAGCTAAGGCCAATAAAACCCGAACGGTGGAGGGTTTAATAACTGGACCGAATGTTTCAGTATAGTCAATCCCACTATGTTGATCAAAATCCTTAGCAACTAGTCGGGCTTTATACCGATCAATCGTTCCATCTTGCTTTTGTTTGAGGCGGTAGACCCACTTATTCCGAACAACATTATGAGTGGAAGGACGTGGACATAATGACCAAGTGCCATTGGCCATTAGAGCATCAAACTCATCGCCCATGGCAGCCCGCCACTGGGGGGACTACACGGCAGTGGAAAAGCATGTGGGCTCCGGATCGAGGTAAGGTAACAGTATGTAAGGCTTTGATAGTATGGCAAGTGGAATAATACATTTGATATTCTGGGAAGAGTTTGGAACGTGAGTGACCTGTTTGAGAGCGAGTAAGAGCTCAGAAATAGGAGGAGGTGTAAATGAGTGGGTGGAGGTCTGAGAGGTATCAGCAATGGGAGGTTGGGGAGAGGGAGGTGGGTGGGCATGATGGGAGGAGATGGGGATGTAGGCAAAGGTGCCAGTGTAGTGGCCGAAGAAATAGGAGAGGAAGGTGGCTAGGTAAGGGCAGTAAAGAGGGATTGGGTGAAGGAGTGGCAGTTATGGAAGGTGAGGAGGGAGTAGGAATGGCCGCTGGTGAAGGGTCAGTGGGATTAGGTATGGCCGCAGAAGAAGTGGGAAAAATAATAAGAGTGACATTATCGCAAAGAGCAGTGGAATGTGATGTGCTAGGGGGTGAAGTTGAATTATTACCTTTACATGCTGGAAACAACTCCTTATCAAACACAACATTTCTAGAAATATATGACTCTATTGGTGATAGGATCTAAACATCAGTACCTCTCATGAGAAGAACTATAGCCTAGAAAAATGCATTGCTTGCTAGGAAAAGCAAGTTTTTGAGTCGTATATTAGTGTAATAAAGAGTAGTATGCACAACCAAATGTTTTTAAGAAAACAGAATCTGGTGGTGTTCCAAATAATTTTTAAAAAGGAGAGGAATTATTTAACACCGGTGGTGGTAGCCGTTAATCAAAAAGGTGGCAGTTAAAGAGGCATCAACCCAATAGTCCATAGGAAGACCAGATTGGGCAAGACGTGAGAGGCCCGTTTCCGTTAAATGGCGATGTTTTCGTTGTGCTAGTCTATTTTGTTGTGATGTGTACGGACAACTTACGTGACTTTGAATACCATTGATAAGCAAAAAGGATTTAAAATGGTGATTAATGTTCTCACCTCCTTTGTCCGATTGCAATTATTTAATGCGAGCGGAGAATTGATTTTACCAGAAGTTTGAATTGGACAAAGCAAGAGTAAACATCAGCTTTTGATTTTAAAGGATATATCCAAGTGAACCGAGAAAAATCATCAATAAATAAAACATATGATAAGCAACCACCAATTGATCGAGTTGAACTTGACCATACACAAGTGTGAATAAGTTCAAGAGGAAAACTAGATATTTTACTGGACGCTAAAAATGGTGGTTGCTAACTTTTGCCTAATTTCACCTAATTTCATCTTACCTAATTTCACAAAACAAATTCCAATCAAACACAAAAAAACAGAGCCCTTTTGTTTCTTAAGTTCCTTACAGAAAGTAATGAAAACACCAGCTTGCAAAAAACCTTTCTCCATACATTGTTCAACAGACACAAAGTTTGCAAGATGAAACGAGCTCTGCTCCCCTTCCCTATTTCAAGTTCTCCATAAAACTGTTTTATTTTGACATACCATGCAAGAAGCAGTAGCAGCGAAATAGCTGGGGTGTCCGACGAGTCCACCTTGAAGAGGTATGGGCTCGCGTTCAAAACGTGGGACTTTGTTAGGCAGTTGGAGCCTGTAAGAGCACTCGCTCCACCTCAGCATAGTGAAAACTGTGTTGGGGGTTCTGATTTTTCATGCTAACTTATAGTTTGTTAGCTATCATTACGATAGGCACATTTAATTTCTGGTGAAATCCCCGTGAATTCTTTGGTTCGTGGGATTCATTGAAAACCCACAGATCATTGTGTGTCCTAAGTGAAATCATCTCCTCGTGAGCTGGTAAAATAGGTTCTTAAAACACGGGATAGTATATGTAAAAGGGCTGTCTTCTACAAGTTTGGCACTCCATAAATGAATAGCTTCTTTATTTTTATCAGCCTGTGAAAAGATATTGACAACCAATCCAATCAAGTAATAAANCTGGTAAAATAGGTTCTTAAAACACGGGATAGTATATGTAAAAGGGCTGTCTTCTAAAAGTTTGGCACTCCATAAATGAATAGCTTCTTTATTTTTATCAGCCTGTAAAAAGATATTGACAAGCAATCCAATCAAGTAATAAATATTTCTCTTCTAGCTCTTCGATCTCATACTCCACTGGTTGTCCATGTCTCTCAAAATAATCTATAAATCTCTCTCCCAGAGTTGTTTGCATATCTCGAACTACCTGCAAGTAGTGTATTACCAGCCAAGGGGTTGACAATAGACAGCCCAAAGGACGGCAGATGGGAAAACAAAAAATGAGTACCTGAAAAATGAACCCACTTCTTTTTTGTCGCCGACTCCGACTTTCATTCCTGCCTTTATTCTACTTTGCTAGCTACTCTTGAATTCAGTTATTCCTTAATTCAGGAACCAGAGAGCTAATCAACCACTGAACCGATAGACAGATAAAAGGATGTTAGCCCCTTGCCTTCTCTAGGGTTATCTTGCAACAAAAACCAAAAGGTCACGAGGACACCAGCCTTGTTCTACTTTTAGAACATTCTTTGTATTCTTTGATACCTCATTGAGTCACTTCCTTCACTCATATTTGCAGAANTTTTAGAACATTCTTTGTATTCTTTGATACCTCATTGAGTCACTTCCTTCACTCACATTTGCAGAAAAAGGGATGTTGAATCACCAGTATCGGAGCCGTCAAACCAAAACAAATCGACAGTTGGTGCTCTTTACGAATCATTGGCCAGTGGNCAGAAAAAGGGATGTTGAATCACCAGTATCGGAGCCGTCAAACCAAAACAAAACGACAGTTGGTGCTCTTTACGAATCATTGGCCAGTTGTGAAATTATGACCGTTGTTGGGCTAATGGCTAGTGACCTAGAAGAGTATTGGTTTCATGGTCCTAAAAATTGTCAAGACATGATGAGGGTATTCACTACGGACGAGGGGGAGACAAAGCAAGATGGGGAGTTTGACTATTTGTTTCTCGCTTGATCGAAATCCACCAACAAATCATCAAGTTTTTCGCACTCCTCTTCCTTGACGGTGTCCCTGACAAATTGTCACGTTCATTCAAAAAATGGCGGACCACATTATCGCCATTGTGGCCAAGGGAAGAACATGCATTAAGACTTAAAAACATTATGCCTGAATTTATTGACTTAAAAGGTATGGAGTATGTCCATTTGACCATTTTTTTTTTTTTTTTGCTTTGCGGTCTCCGGGATATGGCTTGGTGTCTTGTCTAAGTGGGATTGTGCCATTATAATCTAGGCTACATTTTTGGTTGATTTCGTTATGAATCACTATAACTTTGTCATGTTTATGTTCAATTTTTATTCTCAAACTCTAGAACAAATTCTAGTGGGAAGGATAAAGGTAAATTGCAAACAAGTAGCCAACAAACATCTGAGTTCAGATTTTAATCGGGACTATAATTATATTCAACTAGGGTTCAAATTCAAGCAGTGATCCGTTCCATTGACAGCTCTAGTAGTTTTATATGAGGAGCTGTGTGCTTATCTAATTGGTTAATTTTGTCTTTTAATTGTTGTCTAAATCCAGTTTTAGAGAATAATGAAACTCAGATTTGAAATTTGCCCCTGAATGTTATTGTGCTGTAAACAACTAATTAAACACGAAAATTACCACTACATACTATTTTTCCCNTTTGAAATTTGCCCCTGAATGTTATTGTGCTGTAAACAACTAATTAAACACGAAAATTACCACTACATACTATTTTTCCCGTTGAAGAACTATTACTTTCCAAGCAAAGTCAATCACATTAATTTAGTAAAAATTAGTAGCCCCCCATGTAATGCCTCCCTACCCTCCCCTCCCCCCCTGTATAAGACATATGAAATCATTAAATTTGATGATATCAATGCATTGTTATTAAACAATTCAACATTATAAAAATATAGTACTTGATGAGAAAAAGGGCCTGAAGTGAAGAGTTTGAATGTAGTTGGGAGTTTAGTCAAAATAGGTTTCTGAAAAAGTTGAGAATGGATAGAGAGACAGAGATAGTGAGAGACTGTTGTATGTAAATTGAAATGTATTTAAAAAATTAAAAATTAGCATCTAAGATTTTAAGCTCATANGAGATAGTGAGAGACTGTTGTATGTAAATTGAAATGTATTTAAAAAATTAAAAATTAGCATCTAAGATTTTAAGCTCATACATCCAACTACATTTAAATATTATATAAAGTACTAATTATCATTATCATTATTTATTATTATTATTATTATTATTTTGGGTTAACCTGTAGATTTTAGTAACAAAAGTGTCATCAAATTAAAGTCCTAATTTTGTTTGTCGCCCTTTCGGTACTCTGCCATTTGACCAAAAAAGGTAAAAAAAAAAAAAAGATAAAGAGGATAAATGAAAGAGGAAAACTTTTGCAAGAGAAAATTTTTACGACTAGGTTAGGGAAAACNAAAAAGATAAAGAGGATAAATGAAAGAGGAAAACTTTTGCAAGAGAAAATTTTTACGACTAGGTTAGGGAAAACTGACAAGTGATCCTCACAGAAGCATTATTTGGACGTGGATGAAGCTTATCTCATACAGATTTAGGCCCCAAAAACAAGAAAAATAAACGGAACAAAACAAGTCCATAGAANAAATTTTTACGACTAGGTTAGGGAAAACTGACAAGTGATCCTCACAGAAGCATTATTTGGACGTGGATGAAGCTTATCTCATTCAGATTTGGGCCCCAAAAACAAGAAAAATAAACGGAACAAAACAAGTCCATAGAAAGCTAACAGCTGCACTGAGTGGCCAGCAGCCCATGCCCATCATTACCAAATGGCCTGAGTCTGTATAGCTCAGTCTTGGACCCTTTCTTCTACTTCTTCCTTTTTTTTTTTGGGAGGGGGGGATATGGAGAGAGAGAGTAAAAACTTAGTAAGCTTCTTAGTCAATAATAATATGTTGGATCCCCATTTTTCTACAGCTCCCAATAATCTTTCCTTTGTCCTTGTTTTAGTAAACTCAAATCATGTTACACAACAAAAAAAATTGCCACAAATTCAAAATACAATGAAAAATCATTTAGTGCATCATCCTGCACAATTTTTGAGCCGAGATCTACTCTTTTGCAATCTCAAATGATCTTGATCTTGATTTGTGTATAAACATAAGTAGAATTCTTAAAATGTATGTGCCAGTGAAGTTTGCTACGGCTATCTTTCATCAATGCTGGTAACAAGGGATGNACAAATTCAAAATACAATGAAAAATCATTTAGTGCATCATCCTGCACAATTTTTGAACCGAGATCTACTCTTTTGCAATCTCAAATGATCTTGATCTTGCTTTGTCTATAAACATAAGTAGAATTCTTAAAATGTACGTGCCAGTGAAGTTTGCTACGGCTATCTTTCATCAATGCTGGTAACAAGGGATGCAAGTTCTATGTTGTCAGTTTCTGTAGTTTCAGTACCTTCCTTTGTTTCTACTACTTCAGCTGGAAGAATAGTAGAGTTAGGATCACTTCTTGGCACCAAAAATAGCAGACAAAGTGGTGTAACTCTCATTATGTTTCGGATCAAAATGGCTAGCCAGAGATTATCAAATTGTGTCCTTGTAACCTTCAAAACATGCAGTAGTAAGCCCCCTCCCCATGAAGATGAGAGAAGTCCGACATTATCAATTGACATAAGCAAGGCAAAGAAAGTGCCCTCAATGCCAGAGGGACAAAGCTTGGAACTGAGGACAAGAAGGGGCATCCATTTGAGCCGTCCGATCATTTGAGAGACACTTTCATCGATCACCACAAAGAAATAATCAGGTATGCCAATTTTCATATTCAATCGTAGAACCAACATCAAATCCAACATTCCTGATAGACCAAAGAGCAACTGAGTCCAGAAGCATAGATCCCTAAAAGAATGGTCTTTTAGACCATACTGGTAAAGTATGGCCCCCAAAAGAGCGCCAACTGATCCAATTGCGAGTATGTAGCCAACAGCCTCCTGCAAGAAAAATGTGAATATGATCCTACAAGCTTTGCAACAAGAGTAGTCCAAAACAATTAGGAGGAGAATATTCACAAGCGTCTGACAAACACATAATTCAAAACCATATTTCCCCCATATATTATTATTCCAAGACAACTTGGAAATAAGAACCAAATGAGAAATTCTTGAACTGGAGAACAGCAGGAAGAAAACACAAGGTTCATTGTTATAATGACTTTTCAACATTTCTGATGAGAATAACTGCTCCCCTTATACTCCTCATTTTGGAAATGTACTTCCGTATGCAAGCTGTTCACTTTGAAAAAAAAACCACTCAAGATAGTCCCCATTAATGGGTTTGGGGAGGTTTATTCAGCGGAATAACCACCAAGTCTACGCCCCCTGTTCAAGATAGTAAAGACTGTCAAACTACATTTGCTGGTAGTCAAATCAGGGTCTATTGTTCAGAAGGCAGTTATCCTCACTGTTCTCGTTGAAGCTTGAAGGTGCTACAAATTATGAGGAATAAGCCAATAACAACAACAATAGTATGCAAGAACACAAATCAAATTCTTGACGAAGGCCAAAAATGGGAAGGATTGAGGCAGTGAAAAAGGAACAATGGTTTATAATGAAACATGAGTATAAAGCTAAATCTGGACTAAAACAAAAACACAGATTACATGCGTACCCAAAATAGTTAGGATTTAAGGCTTTGTTGTCAAGTTGTTGTTGTACGGAATGTTTGGTCAACTTTTAACAGCCAAATTGTATTGTTTTCTGTCTTCCCAACATTTTATAGATTTATTCCCAAATGTGTCCTTGCTACTTCTTTCAACTGTATCAAATATATTGTTGTTGCTATTGCTGCTACTGTTTTAACATGTCTGCTGGTGGCAGTCTTTCTAGACCATCAAAACAAATTTGAGAAAGAGTTCTTAACTCATGACTTAGTTGCAAGCAGAAACAATGTACCTTAGAGAATGTTGGTCCTTCCTTTGAATCCGTGTACCAGTAGAACATCCCTTCACCAATATTCAAACTCAATGCAAGGGACAGGTACATATATAAACATGGTCTCCACACATCTGGGCATTTTATTGTTCTCCACATAGCCTTACCAGCATCAAGAAATTTCTGGTTCACCTGATACCAGCATAGAAAATTAGAATGTCGATATTATCACATCCAAAGGATCAAAAGGAAGCCACAATTACCTGTCTGTAAGAAAAGTTGGGCATATAGGGCTCCTTAAGCACTATGCCAACTAAAAATACAAGCCCAAATGGAACTGCCAGCAAGCCATAGACCCCCTATGATGCACACGTGCAAAAACAAAATAAGTTGATATGGAAAATAATCATGTTTAAATGTATTAAATAAGACTGACGACAAATGATAGCGATTAGGCCAAACTAATGGAAGAGGAACTAACCATTGGGCCAATCAAGTAAACAAAGATACCACTTAAAGCAAACCCCATCAGTGCTCCAATAGAAGAACTCAAAGCGCATAAACTTTGCATGTCAGCTGCAAGAGAGGGATGACTACCACTATTCTGTGCCACACATGCATCAACAGTAACATCTGCTATTGCAACCCCAGCACTTCCCGCCGTTAAAGACAACAGCGCCAATGCAATATGTAGCTTTTGTTGCAATGATAAAAAAAGCATTGAGACGACACCTAGAATACCTGAAATTATCATGAAGCAGTTATCTGATCAAACAACTTCAACAGTCAAACAGTTATTTCAGTTTTTCTTTGATCTCATTCAACAACCTACTCTTTGCATTTTAAAATCTACTCATCTACAAGAATAATATATACAAATTTGGGGTAGGATTCTTTGATTCCACATTGTATGGAAACCTTCCATTGCAATATATGCAAGTATCGTATTGTCATTTTAACTGCACCCCCCCCCTCTCTTCCCCCGGGAAAAAGCAGGTTTATAGACAACTTTAATGACTTGTTATGTTGTTTCTAATATTTGAGGAAAATTTTCTACTAGCAACCATGTGAGAGAAATAAGCCACATCTTCAGGAACATAATTCTTCTTTATTTAGAAACATTTTGACAATCCCAGCGTTTTACTAATTCAACATTGTTAGATAACAAACTTCCAGACCATGAAGATCCTCAGCAATAATGTCCCCCATTTCAATATATACTCTGTTGTGCTATCATACAAATTGAATTGCTTCTACTTAAGTAACAATGGTCATATCAGGAACCTGCATTATGTAAGCAGTTATAACCGATTTTCAAAGGGATATTGATGACTAAGTGTATTAGAGTGTAGTTCCATATCATATTTTGTTTCCAACAGAAGCTACTTGTTCAAATCCCTTCACATGATATCAAGCCCGAAGTTTGATTCAAAGTCTGGTGGAGTCACAGGAGAAGGAAAATTTCAGCTTATGGTAATTGGACTTAGAAACCAAGAGGAAGATTTCGGCTTGTGTACTCATTGACGTAATAAAGCCATAAAAGTTGTGGCACCTCCAGGTTGGTTCTTGCTAGAATTGTTCCTCAATTAGGAGGTCCTTTGGCAAGATGGTCAATTTAATTTGCAACAAGCATCAGTGGATATAAAATCAAAAGAAAAAGGAATCCATCAAGATTTTGTTTTGGTCAAGCTATTTACTTCACATGTATGTAGCTATGTATATTGAAACTTATAGTGTATGGCATTCTCACCTCACTAGACCAAGGAATGTCACTATCCATTTTGAAAATTCTTGCCACAAAAGAATATATGGCATCTTGCTGCATGAATCACTGCAGGCCACTATATTTTTCAATTTTCTGAATTGTTCACAAGGTCTTCAAAAGTGGAGTTACAGGTTACAGCCCACTAATACTGAATAAAAAATTGGATCACTAAGAGAGTAGCTATTTAATGGCTCAATGGAAATCAGGTGAAGGAAGTTGGCGCAATGCTGGGTAGCCTATTTCCTAACCATGTTACTTGCATGGCAAGCAAGCAAAGTTCACAACTTATGTCTCATTAAATATTTAAAACGTGTAAAAATTGAATGAACTTAAAATCTACCTACTTCTGCCAATCTCTACAAAGGCAGTCCAATATCATGTGTTACCATGGAGGGATTCTTGATACATATTTGAAACCCAAATCACTTTTGCAATTTTTCATGAACAGCACACCATCATCCCAAAGTTTTAACTTCTAAGAGATAGCAAAGCTTAAAAGGGGCCAAAAGTTCTACCACAGAAAACAGGACATGCAAATGTCAGACTTTTAAGATCTATGCATGTAGAATAAATAAGACAGCAATTGTGATTGACATAGATGGGCCTTGACTTTACTGAATAAAGCTACACCCCTCCAGTTATATGAGCGACAGTTGACTCTGCCCAGTCACAAATCAAGTAAGGATTGGCATTATTTACATGAATCATGCACACAAAGCAGACACTAAAAGCCATTGGCATTCTATCTAACCATAAAACGGGTTGAGGCTATCTGTACATTCATAGAATGCAATTACGACTGTATAAAGCTTCTTTAATAATTACAAACTAAGTGTAGAGCCCCGTATATATAGTCAAACAATAAAGATACAATAAGGATAAAAAGGCCAAACAAAGGTAGAAAGGAAAACTCTAATAATCTAGGCTATAACTCCAACACTCCCCCTCAAGCTAGGCGCAAAAATATTAATTAAGCCAAGCTTGAGAACCGAGTCCTGAAGAATGGATAGAATGACAGGTTTGGTGAAAACATCCGCAACCTAATCACTAGTCCCCACAAACAATGAAGTGACAATACCACGGCTAACCTTCTCCCGAAGAAAGTGAACATCGATCTCTATATGCTTTGTCCTCTCGTGTAGTACAGAGTCAGAAGCGAGCTGAATAACAGATCGATTATCACAATATAATGTGGATGGAGAAGTCACTGGAAATCCCAACTCGCCAAGAATCGATCATAGCCAGATAATCTCACATGTGCCAAGTTTCAGTGCCCGATACTCTNTCACTGGAAATCCCAACTCGCCAAGAATCGATCATAGCCAGATAATCTCACATGTGTCAAGTTTCAGTGCCCGATACTTTGCCTCTGCTGATGAGCGAGAGACAACTGACTGTTTCTTGCTCTTCCAAGAGATAAGATGAGTCCCTCAGAAAGCACAGAAGTCCGCAGTAGATTGACCATCACACGCTCCCCCATAATCTGAATCTAAATAACAGGCTAAAGAACTAATCTGAGNGATGAGTCCCTCAGAAAGCACAGAAGTCCGCAGTAGATTGACCATCACACGCTCCCTCATAATCTGAATCTAAATAACAGGCTAAAGAACTAATCTGAGATCCTGATGCATAGAACAATCCAAGTCTAGGACAAGACTTGAGGTACCAAGGNACAGAAGTCCGCAGTAGATTGACCATCACACGCTCCCCCATAATCTGAATCTAAATAACAGGCTAAAGAACTAATCTGAGATCTTGATGCATAGAACAATCCAAGTCCAGGACAAGACTTGAGGTACCAAAGAATATGATAAACTGTATCAAGATGAGGCTAACATGGTCTGTGCATGAACTGACTAACTCGACTGACAGCGAATGAAATGTTTGGCCTCATGTTGGCTAGGTAAATAAGTCTACCTACCAACCTTTGATAGATAGTCGGATCTCTCAACTCCTCACCTTCAGCAGTAAGCTTCAGGTTTGGAATCATGGGTGATGATGCCGGTTTGCATCCCAGCATCCTAGTGTCTGAGAGAAGATCCAGAACATACTTTCTCTGAGAAAGAACAATACCCCTACTGCTACGGGCAACCTCAATCCCAAGAAAGTATCGCAAAAAACAAAGGTCCTTCACATCTAAGGCCTTCCCAAGGTCTACCTTGACCTGCACAATCCCAGAAATATCATCTCCAGTAATAATAATATCATTAACATATATCAAAAGAATGATACACTGTCCAAAAGTATTCTATCAAATGAAACAAGTATGATCAGAATGATATTTGGTGAACCCTAAATGTACAGCNGCAAAAAACAAAGGTCTTTCACATCTAAGGCCTTCCCAAGGTCTACCTTGACCTGCACAATCCCAGAAATATCATCTCCAGTAATAATAATATCATTAACATATATCAAAAGAATGATACACTGTCCAAAAGTATTCTATCGAATGAAGCAGGTATGATCAGAATGACATTTGGTGAACCCGAAATGTACAACTACACCACCAAAGTTAGAGAACCAGACTCGTGGTGACTGTTTCAGTTCATAAAGAGACTTATGCAGTCGACATACCGTTCCAGCATACTCCCCCTCACCACGAAAACTCGGTGGTGCATCCATATAAATAATCTCATCCAAATCACCGTGAAGAAATGCATTCTTCACATCCAACTGATGAAGAGGCCAAGAATACTCCGCAGCCAGAGAAATAATCAATCGAATAGTTGTCAACTTTACCACGGGAGCAAAGGTAGCACCAAAATCAAGACCTGGTACCTGAGTAAAACCCTTTGCCACAAGTCTAGCCTTGTGAAGATCAATAGTACCATTCGCAAGAAACTTCAGGGTGTAAACCCTGCAACAGCCAGTAGGCTTTACCCCTGAAGGTAAAGAGACAAGATCCCACGTATGATTACGCTGAAGAGCGTCCATCTCCGTCTGCATGGCAATAACCCACTGGGACTCCCGCATAGCCTCTGAAACAGAGCGAGAAACTGGCGTATCTGATAAAGCCATACTATAAGCTTGAAATGTAAGAGACAGATCATCATAAGAAATATAAGCAGAGATTGGATATAAAGTCTTGGTAGTCCAATCATAACGAACAACTGGACGACGATCACGCCGCGAATAACGACGTCTTAAATCATTATCCTCCACTGACAATGTCGCATCAGGTAAAATAACTGGCTCAGTACCAGCAATCTTATCAGTACTAACAACAGGTGCATCAATATGCTCAACGAACTGAAAAGTATTATCTGCATCGCCTGAGGTAGAGGGGACATCAACAGGGGGATGAGAGTGAGGGTGACGAACATAAACCTGCAAAGGAAAAGAGACTGATGACTCTGTAATGACAGGGATTCTGTACTGACAAGGATGAGTAGCTCTAGAGGAGGAGAGACTGATGACTTTGTAGTGATAATGACTAATGGTTCTGGCTCCTGTGGTAACGGAAAATCAAAGAGAGTATCATCAACTGGAGGGGCAGACACAGGACTGCTCAAGGAATATGCTCAAGGAAGGTAACATATAGACTGCGATACATACGTCGCCTGACAGGATCATAACACCAATACCCCTTAGACTGATGACAATAGCTCACAAAGACACAACGAATCGCTTTATTATCAAGCTTATGACGAGTAAGAGACTGATTCTGAACAAAACATGTGCAGCCAAAAACACGAAGGAGGACCGACAAAAGTATCTGCTCAGGGAATAAGACCTGTAAGGGAGCCCTATACTGAAGAACACGACTCGGTGTACGATTGCACAAAAAGGTAGAAGTCAAAACAGTAAAATGCCAATAAGATTTTAGTACCCCCATACCTCTAAACATACAACGTACCATCCCTATTAGACTCTTATTTTTCCTTTCAGCAACTCCATTTTGCTCAGAAGTATATGGACAAGTGAGTTGCTGAAGGATACCTTGAAAAGAAATGTGAGACACTAAGGCATCAGACACATATTCTTTTGCATTATCCGAACGAAGAGCACAAACAATGATATTGAACTTTGTATTAATCATCTAAAGAAATTGAGTGATGGCAGGGAGTACATCAGACTTCCTATGCAAAAGGTAGACCCAAGTACAACAGGTATGATCATCTATAAATGTCACATAGTATCGGGCACCTGACAGAGCAATAACAGGAGAGGATCCCCAAATATCCAAGTGTATTAGGTCAAATGGTTTGGGTGGTTGGTGCATGCGAGGAATATAACTGGTCCGAACATGTTTTGATAGGGAACATATAACATAGTCAAGTTTACCACTAACACAAGCTTTGCTCAAAGCAAGAAATAACATACATAAATATTTAAAATTTGTATGCCCAAAACAGTCATGCCACAACTGAACAGTTTGTGGTGAAAAATCATAACGATAAGTACTAGGTAAAATACTAGCATGCAAGCTAAGAACAGATAAAGA